GGTTGGATTGTTAACATTCCAATTAATTTTTCATGAAAATTTTGATTGAATGAGTTCAACGAAACACTTGAACTTAACATCCATGTAAATAGTGGACCGAGTACATCAAAATCAAGTGCAGATTGCAGAATCAAGGTGATATACGTTGGCTGAGCCCATAATATTACAATTCGTGATGAACAACTAGTTAAATATGTTTGTAAATTACCTTGAATTTCTAATGTGGCAATATCAAATATAATGCTTTGACTCACATTCAAATTATATCGATTAAATGTTTGTGTAATTGCTTTGAAGGCTCCAGATCCAAAAGCATCATTTTGATAGATAATTATGCATGATGTCCAATTAAACGTAATGAATAGTTGTGCAATTGATAATGCTGCTGTATCATCGGAAGGAACTGTACGATAAAATGCAGGATATGTCTTTCGATCAGCTAACTCAGGATCGGTTGCAGCATAAGATATGACTGGAATACCAATCCTGTTGGCGAAGGGAGCAATAACGAGAACTTCCCTTGACAACTCTGGACCGACAATACCAACAATATTTCCTGTTGATACTGCTAAACAGGTACTACTAAAACAATCCATTACATTACCACTGGTTTGTATAATTTGCCATCCAATAAATTGTCCGTCAATTGTCATGTTATACTCATGAGAAAGAAATATTGCTGCTTTAAACATTGCACGAGAATGTATAGAAATTTCATCAGATTCAGATGTATTTGATATATCTTCAAAGATACCTAATAGTTTAATGCTTGAAAAGTCTGATGATGACCAAGTTGTTTGCATGTATTGTGCAGCAGATTGCTCAATGATCACAATTAAGAATAGCGATGGGAAGTTCCACAAGTACAGCATCATTGTGTTTGATTGAAAAAGAGTTATAATGTTTGGTTAAAGTTTTCAAAAATAAAGCCGAAAAGCACGCTAAAATTTAACACATTGTAATTAGCTATAAAATAAATTTATTTCTTATTCAACTGTATTTTTTCGAGTATCTCTTCTCATGCAGTATTAGTTAATAGAATTTGAACACTAAGATGAGGTTTTCGATGAACTAGATCACTGCTCGCTCCATTCTGTATGAGTATTATGCTGAAGAAACTCTACTTCTAGCGTTACAACTCATAAAAAAACGATGCAAAAGTTGAGAAGTCTGTTATTAATGCTAACAATATTTGAATCTGCGAAATATATCCGATCAAAATTCCTTGAATCGTTTCAATTAATTACATGACCGAGCGAACTTACCATTTCGTAGAGAAATCGACATGCCGTTTTTCTATGCAAAACTAAATCTCAGCGACGTTTTTCACTTCACTCCGAAATATGTCGTCATGCTTGTCAAATCGATTATCAGAAAAAACGTTTTCTCTTAAAAAGACGAATAATCCTTTCTTTCATTGAATATAAAACACATTTGTCCAAACGATGTTTACCTTTTACTTAAGATATGGTTTTTTCTGTCACCATAAATCGGAAGGTTAAAGCTTTGATCAGGCAAGCTATCAAAAACAGAAATGTAGCGAAAAGAAACGATTTCAAAATTCATTACTAAGAAAATTCGCTTACGAGATACGGATATATTTCTAATGAATGTCATCGGTTGATCGCTTGATTATTAATCTTATTCATTATTTATCATCAACTGATTTCGCAGAAATGATCTATAAAAAGATTTGTCGCAGAAAGTGGTGGTTAAATTCGTTGTTGGCTACGTTTTATTTATACTGAAAATTGAAAATAACAAAGTTCACAGAAAAACGTTCCTTTCTCAGTAACTTTATAAAGGAAAATGGAGTATCCTGTTCAAGAAAGTAAAGTGATGGTGTTAATTATATCATGAAATTTTATGCTAGTTATAGAATTGAAATTTTCTAAATTTCCGCTCACACTATTGTTAGGAACAGAAAATATGAACTTTTCATGTATATGTCAAATACTGAAAGAAAAAACAAGACTTACTAAGAGCTAAACAAATGTTGTGGTTGATACTACATTAAAAAAATAAATAAAAGGAAAAAAATCATTAGGCTGTATTAATCTCGCACTTAGTGTCACATTAAAAATGAATACCTCATCAAAAATCAATAAACTTTTCTGCCATTGAATACGAAATACATTTGTCCCAAAGACATTTACCTTTTACTTAAGTCATGTTACTTGTTCTGTCAACCCAAATCAGAAGATCTACGTTTTGATTAGTCAGCTTATCAAAGTGAGAAAGAAGTTATAAATCAGTGATTGTGAAACTTAATTAATTCTCAACTGGTTTAACAGATGTGATCTAGAAAAGTTGTTTTACGAGAGTGATCGCTAAGTTTCCTTACTATCTTCGCTTTGTTTCTGTTGGAGATCAAGCATTATCAAGTCCATAGAAGCTTCGCTTTCTGAATGACTTTCTGAAAGAAAATGCAGCGTCCTTTTCAATATCAAAAAGTGGATGGTATGCATTGAAGGGTATGGATGTAGATGTAAGTGTCGATGTGGATGCGGGGTGGTTTTGGGATTTCTCTTCTCCCATGCCCACACAGACACACACACCTACCTGTACTTCCAGACCGACACCCACACCCACACTCTTCATGTGAGTCCTTTACTCGTTAATATTTCCAGCCACTCACATCTACATCCTTGATTAGTGCATAAAAGGATAATGAAATTAAAGAGTGGCTGAACGGAAATCGAATGGTAATTTTTGTCTTATCAAACACTGAAGCAAGACGAATCAAGTATACAAGATCAGTTGTATCCAGATGTCTAAATGAAATCAGCGTATCGTCAAACGCCGTACTATTTCAATTTATATCGACAAGCAAAGCATTATTTCGACTAAGCCATGCTTTTCTCATATATTATGATTCGTTGATCTTTTTCTCAAACGCCACTTCTCCTAATCTAACCACACATCATCAGTCATATGAATAAAGTTCTATTCGTATCATTCTTTAGTCGAACTAAATTAACAAGGTCACAATTCGAATTAAGGCGAACAAAATGAAATAGTAATAATGCTAGATATTTCTGGGTGTGAGCGGGGTGAGATGTGGATGTAGTTCTTGCGTGAACCCACTCATACTCACCAACTCTCACACCCACACCCACACCCATTTTCCAGATAGAATATTGTTCTTCTGAAAAAAATGTTTGACTGGAGAATGTATCCACGGCTTTTAATTATGATTCTAATGAAAATGTATTGCTCATGCATGTGGTTTTCTTGAGCTTCTTGGACAAGAAAGTCATGTGCTATGGTTAAATCTTGAGGTCTGCCCAGATCAAGAACAAGAAAAAGAAAGTTCAACTCGGGTATATTTTAGAAACTTCAAGTGGAAGCCGAACAATATTGAATTTGTCGAAATTCGACCGGAATTTCGATACTGCTGAAATTCAAATGACAAAACCCTACTTTACCCACTTAAGGCCGCAATATCTATATTATACATATCTGTTTCCAACGTCATCCATTTACTTGCAGTATGTTACCTAGCACGCTATATGCAGTTTGATGATAATCTGAAATCTGAAGAAGAAATACTATGTGATGATCGTAGTCATTTATAGCAGAAAAATGTATTTTCAGTGATGTTTATGAATCTATTTTCTACAAAAATTGTATATTTTACAAAAGAAATAGAAAGAATTAGCGTCATATCGCCACGTGATTATATGTAAGGTAGCTGCCCGAGCTTCCGTTTCTAATAAATCCCATAATTTCTGCTTCAAAACTTATGTTGATCGTATTTTAATCAACTGCTAGTTACAGTTACGGAAAAACAGAGTGTGGGGTGTGTGGGTAGGTGTGGGCGTGGGTGTGGGTGTGGGTGGGTGTGTGAGTGTGGGTGTGGGTGGGTGTGGGTGGGGGTATGGGTGTGGGTGTGGGTGCAGGCATATGTATGAAGAGATGACGCACACCCACACTAATACTCATACTCACACCCACACTCACACCCACACTCATACCCACACTCACACCCACACCCACATCGACACCCCACACTCACACCCACACCTACACCCACCCACACCCACACCCACACCCACACTCACACCCACATCCACACCCACGCCCACACCCACCACCACCCACACCCACCACCACCCACACCCACACCCACACCCACACCCACTCACACCCTCTAATAAAAGATTTATTTGCACCATGTTTCAGCACTGCTAAACCTTTAGCATGTGCAAGAACAAAATCAAGAACTAATGCTTATAATGTACTTGCCCCTTATTTCACATTCAAATTAATCAATGAAATGTCACAATCCTAATGCTGTTATAATTAACACATTGATTTTAACATTGATGAAATATATCTACAGAAAGAATAATCAAACTCAGAAGGCTTCTCTATCAGAAAAAAAATCATTTAAGCATCAAGAAGCTTAGAAACGACTTTCCGAATTTTTTTCCAAATTAGCCAGATATTTTTCCGAATTTTTCCGAATTCAAGCAAAAAAATTCCGATTTCTAAGATTTTGATCTGCCAACCCTGTATATAACGTAAATAGTTTCAACGCAAAAGCGATTGAACAGTTGGTGGCTTTCCCTCGTCAGCATGATCAATTAATATGAATCTGTATGACAGAACTTTAACTCCAACATGAAGATATGTGACGAGTGTGGGTGTGAGTGTGGGGTGTCGGTGTCGTTGTATTCGTGAGAGAATAGTCACACCCACACCCATACCCACACCCCACACCTACACCCACACTCACACAGTCACAGCCACAGTCACAGCCACATCCAACACCTACACCCACACTCATACAGTCATAGCCACAGCCGCACTTCACAATCACACTTCCAACCACATTCACCCGCATCCTCTGTTGGATAAGCTAGGACTATTATCCGAGATCCAGATTTACTGCATTTTTATTATGACCAAAAGATATCACACAATTGGTCAATCTCAGTTCAATAGTGAGCAGAACGATGTCTCACGTATGTAAATTTGTAGTAAGGCAGAATTGTTCATGAAAATTTAACTGTAATTGTTTGGCTTGCTTGACTGCATGTGGACGTACCACTAATTCCACCCCAATTTCCATTTGAAATACATGCTCGGATAGCGTATGTAGCTGAGCACGTACAGGTGCCTCCAACAGTTAATTCTACACTACCGGCACAGACGTCAACTGCCCACGAGTATCCATTTGATGTTATCGGTCCGTAGCTGCTATAATTCAAGAGTGCTGCAGCAATACCATTTACGATAGTTGGATCAGTAACATTCAAACCACTTGAACTCAGAGACCCATAGAATTGTAGGAGTGTATAACTCGAGCAGGTTAACGCGGTTCGAAATGTACCCCATGCTGTACATTGAGCCGATGTTGGAGCTACCGCATTTGTGAAGGAGCTAGAGTAAGTTTGAGTTGTACAAAGTGGTGTTGTGGTAGTTACAGTGGTCGTGGTGATTGTAGAAGTTGTGACGGTCGTAGTAGTTGTAGTCTCGGTGGTAGTTGTTATGGTAGTTGTAGTGGTCAACGTTGTTGGTGTCGCTAAAAGGATTTGGTTTAACAAGATCGCGATCAAGTTTGCTAGGGCCTCCAGACGTTTCGTCGCGATCATTCCGAACATCCGTCTTTGACACCAGATGTTCAGAATTGATATTTTAGTCCTAGAACGGATGTTCGGAAAACCCGTTAAAAATTTTTACGAACATTCGTTATTTTCCGATGATCGTTTCGAACACCCGTATTTTTCTTATTACGAACATCCGATATTTTTATCTTAAAAGTGATGATTTTTTGAAGAAAAACGGATGTTCGGAACGGACTACGACATTGAATGTTCGGAATGAAAAGTAGCGACGAAACGTCAAAATTCCGTTTGCTAGTTCTCTGATGAAACTACTTTTACTTTTTTCACTATTCAAAACTGTTGCAAAAGTGAAAGTTGTGAGTCTGACAAAAATAAATTATAAATAATCCATGTGAATCATGCTCGACTGTAAACGGTTCTTCACTAACGAAATACGGCAAATAACGCCGACTGTTTACGTTAGCCATTTACGGCAGTAGTGAAAGACGATTCACAGCATATTACGACAATCGTGCACAGTGCCCATAAAAATCCATCGTAAACTACTACCGTAACAATACGGTGACTGTATACTTTGGTCGGAAAGCACCGTAAAGCATCGTATTCGTCAGCCGTTTGCGGTAACCGTTTACAACAGTTATTACGGCCATTGTAAACATTGACCGTAGAGTATCATCAGAAACGACTCGCGTGACAACACAACAACTGTATACACTGGTATTATAAAATGTTGAAAACATAGTGTACATAAGTAGTATACAGTAGTCCTTTACGGCGATGGTAAACGATGTTTTACGATGATTTGCGGCCACCGTAAACGATTGCCATAAAAAGTTACCGCGCACGATTTATGTAACAATACGGCGACTGTATACTTTGGTCGGAAAACAACGTAAGGCATCGTATACGTCAACGGTTTCCGATCGCCGTTTAAAACGGTCGTACCTAATGCATCATGGCATTCTACAGCCACTGTAAACGTCGGCCGTAAACTGCCGCCGGTTACTACCCGTGTGACAACGCGACGGCTGTATATGCCAGTATTATAAAATCTCGTAAGACGCCCCTGTTAAAAGACCAATCAAAGCCCGCATTGCTGTATTTCCATGAAGGGATAGGAGGGGGCCCATACTTATACCCATCAATCGATGAGTCTATGGGCTTTTTTATTTCAAACTGAATTCTAAAATCAAAAAAACCGCACCAACTTCTTCCGAATCAAACTTTTCTCGTTTGATACTACGTAGTCCCACTAAAAACCCTTAGTCCCCCCTAGTCCTGCAAAGTCCCCCTTAGTCCCCCCCACAAAAAGCTTAGTCCCCGCTTAGTCCCTTGTGCAGGGGACTAAAGCCTATAGTACACAAAGCCACAAGCACACCCTCACCCTCACTCGCGCGCCCACACCCGCACCATGGGTGTGGGTGTGTGTGTGGGTCCCAGACCAACACCCACACCCTCAGTCACTTCCCCCCTCACTCCTAGACTCACGTTTCAGTTTGAAATCAAGTATTATTTTTATTTGATAAATTCAGACTGAAATTAAATAGCCCATAGTATGCAATCGATAGAGTATCCCCAACAACCCTAGGATCGGCCCGGACATGACTACCACATGTGTGTACTATAAGGCAGAAAAGTCCTCTTGAAATCTCATTGGACCATTTTAACCGACCAATCAGAGCCCCGATTTCTATATCTCTATGAAGGGATAGGAGTAGACCCATACATATACCCCTCAATGGATAAAGAATCCTGGATAACCTTAGGATCGGGCCGAACATGTCAATATGTTGTCCTTATAACAAGAGAGAAAAGTCCACCTGAAATCTGATTGGTCGAAATGGGCCAATGAGAAAACAGAAGTTCATTCTTCATTCACCGTTTTGTTTGGTGCAACACTCATATACATAAGTATCAGCACCAAATCGATTCACCTTTTCCCATCCTATCAACTTCGACGCTGGGTAAGTACTTTTCACTCTCCTGCCTAGCAGCTCGATCACATTTCACTTCTTGCTGTTCCGCAAGGTGGAGATCCATACATATACCTCTCAATCGATAGAGAATCCTCGATAACCATCGGATCGGCCAGAACATGCCTATATGTTGTCCTTATAATAAGAGAGAAAAGTCCTCTTGAAATCTTATTGGTCCAGTAAATGGACCGATGAAGCATGGGATTCTATTTCTCAGTGTGGTGCGGGGTGAGGTCCCATACTTATACCCAGGAATCAATAGAGCGTCCTTGATAACCCTAGGATTTACGCGAGCATGCCGATGTGTTGTCGTTATAATATGAGAGAACGTTCGTCCTGATAAGATCGGCGAAATACGGCCATAATACGGTCCCACGAAATACGACGACGATACGGCCGTATACGCCGCCGTAAACGGTCATGTACGGCCATTTCTGATCGCCGTAATGCTCGTTCTGGGATGGCTGAAATCTTTATCACAACAGAATATGTTATGAGAAGATCGTTGAATCCGTATTCATTTATCACCTACACTTACTTGTATCACTATTTGATATTGTTGTCGTCGTCGTACAGTTCGAATTCAACCACATTGTAGTAACAGTTGCTAAACCTACTGCAGCTAATAATGCGCCAATAGTCAAACCAATCAGAAATGCTTTGTGAGCTGCCAAAAAGTTGCCAAAATATCTGTTACATAAAGTGTATTACATCGTATTCAAGAGCAATATTGTTGTTATAGATGTGAAATTGGAGTACAAAAATGAATCTCAGAAAGAAAAGCGACAGTCTCCATTTACTGTAGAAATATCAAATATATAGATTAAGTTATAAAGAATTAAAGTTTAAACGGAATTAATGGGAAAATGATAACTCTGATCAGACAACTTAACGCTGACTAAATTTAAATAGCAGATTCAATTACTTGCAATGAGAAAATGATTTGTCAGGATTGTCTATCGTGAGTTCATCTGTTGTTGACCAAGCAGGTTTTGCCATTTGAGGACTTGGCGATTTGAAGCACTCAGCTTGCCATGACCATGCGTCCCATTGGCTGAAGCGCATGTCTAATTTTGGACCATTGGGTGAAGTAACACTTGCGTGAGACGATGACATGAATGCGTGAGAATTAAAATTTAAACTGTCTGGTTTTGGCTGTATCAGAAAGTTTTTCATAAGAATACTTTCAGCGCTGTTTCTTTCTTGCATGGTAGAGAAGTTCTGAATCACAATAAAATAAGTTCTATTTCAGCTTATTTTGAGTATGTTATTAAAAAAATGAATCATTACATCTTTGTGAAGCCTTATTTTTTATCAAGATAGTTTCTATGCACTCTATTGAAAAGAATCAGAACTTAAGTAAAAAAATATTTATATGTAAATAGATATTGGTTGAATTCTCTTTTTCTATTAGACAATAGTGGCAACAATGAAAAAAAAGGCAAAGAACTAATTATGATTTGTTTGAGGAGGGAAAGCTAGTAAAGAATTCGCTTTCTTTTGCTTAACAATCGTTCACTGATATATACCACTTCCAAAACAAGTTAGCGGCAGATGCAGAATTTTATTTTCTAGCATCAATAAAGGGAAATTCGCACACGTTTGTGAACTTTTGTCTCGCAAACTTTGAATATTTCTATGTGTTATCTTATCGAAAAACTTGTCATACCAATCTGCTACAGTAAATATTTTCCCATAAGACTATTTAGCCGGTTCGTAAAGTATTGAAAACTGATAATTTGGTCATGATTTTTCTTCGACTCTAACTGTTTCGCCGATTATTCCGGCTGAGGCATATCAGCAAACATGCTGGCCAAGGGGAAAACAACGAAAATTTCAGTCATGAAGCCTTGGAAGTCTCATGAATTTCCATGAACTTGTTTGAAATCTCTCCAAAAATTTAAAGTATCTGTTGCTGAAGTCTTGAAGTCTGCTGCGTCTTCCTTGGTGATGGCACTATTGGAGCGAATTGGCGGTGCCAGCTATTTTGGTCTAAAACAAAATGAAATCGAACTTTTAAAAATCTATACTTTCTCTTGAAAACATTCTTTCATGAATATATAGTTTGAACTCTTGACTACAATTTGAGATTAAAGTTCACGTGACTATTAAAGAATTGCCATCTTAACCATATCTTTTATTATCGAGCGTCGAAAACAATAACTATGCTGTTTTAAGCTAATTTGAGATAAATCACCACTCTCAATCATTAATTCCATGAAAAAAAATCAGCAATTTCTGTCTTCGTTGTACATGTACCTAACATATAATTTGGTGACTGATCACTTCGTTGCACGATATGTCGTCGCGATCATTTCGTCGCATATAAAGATTAAGGTACGTTAATTGAATTAAGCGACTTAGTCTACCATGTCATTTCATTAATCAGCTTAAAAAATGTTTCTATTTATCGTATCAGATCTCTTTCCTGATATTACAACCTTTTTCAATAGAGAAGATGTTGATACACAGCTTATTTTAAATTTAAATTAATCCACAAAAGTTTTACTGAAAATAAAACTTAGTAAATTTATATTTAAAATTTAATCAAAACTAAAATTTTTATTGTAAAATAAACAAACTTTTTCAAAGCAAAACTTTCATCTTAAAATATATAATTTTTTTAAATCAAACTTTTCAGCTTAAAATAATTCAAATTTTTTCAATTAAAAATGGAAAGAAATTAATTTCTCAATTTAATAATTTACTTAAAATCAAATGTTTACCTCTAAAAAATCATATACAAAGGATACTCGAATATTTTAAAATGTAATAAGATTTTTTTTTAACATCGGCAGCATCGAAAATCCAGAACTCGTTTCGAAAATTTTCAAAACCGCTTCACTCATTGATCTGGCAGCTTTGCAAATCACAGGAAATTATATCGGAAAAAAATGAACAAAGAATACACATAAGAAAAGAGAATTTCAACTTCATTTCTGCTTAGTCTTTCTTAGAACAAAATTTCCATAGAAGCCGTTTCCGTAAGAGACTTCAGTTGATTCTCATTTAATAGCAGATCGTTTGTAATTACTTTAGTTGAAGACCTTTTACCCAACTTTTCCAAGAGCTAAATTATTTTTTTCTTGAAGTATATTTTCTATTCATCATATAGGCTTAATTGTTGTATAGTGGAGTATACATTTATACGATTAATTAAATAACGTACTGAACTACATCAGTTAATTCAATTAATACATTTTATTCTTTATATGCGACGAATTGTCGTGCGCGAAGTGTACTAGCGCCATATAATTTATTAATGACACTATAGCTATCAAAAAGAGAATGTATATATAAAACTTGGTGGAATAGTATCTTCATGTTCGTTCTACCATCAAAAGGAACGAAGTTTTGACAGTTGCATTCAAAAAAGTGATTACCGAAGTGGCTTTTATGCACTACCACAATATAATAAATCTGCCTAATTTTATTATGATCACTGCAGATATACATCACAAGTTTACGATGGGATTGTTTTTTTTCTATATGTGAAAAAGTATAAAATTCTTGGTTGCAATCGATGGTGACATTTAAAAAGGTTCTCTCTAGCCTTGTCTTTGCGGATATGAACTGTGCACATGTCTTTAAGAGTCGTAAAAAATATCAGCTCGTGTTTGGTAGAACTAACAGAGATCTTTGATTGTTTCACTTAGAGACGATGGAGTCATTTCTTATTTTGCCTCTTCAATCACAATCTACTGTAAGAAAAAAAATTACAATATTAGCACAAAATGAGCTCTTCATTTGCAATTTAGATGAGACACTCACTGTTTTCATTTTTATATTAAACTTTTCTGTTGGTAGCGACGTCAAAATGCCTCGCAATACCTTTGTTTTTCTTTCTTTCGTCTTAAGTTCGCTCGCGTGCGCTACGTTGCAAATTATCGAATGATTCTTGACTTGCGCATATGCATGTGAAACCGACGAATACAAATAATAATGAGAAGCCTTAAGTGAATATTACCATATCTATAAATTAAACCAGAGAACGATGCTATAAGTGAAACATAAAAACATGTAGGTAAATCACATCAAAATATGTTACAAAAAAGAAAAATTTCACGTATAGTCTCAAAGACACACTCTAAGAGCTCATTCTATTTCCCTTGCTTCGGTAGCTTATCCGACTCATAGTGTTGACACTGAACCTTTAAACGAGAACAAAAATATTCCAGTAAAAAATTTCATAATTAAAATCCAATTATAAGTCGGATGTGGGTGTGGGGTGTGGCTGTGGCTGCGACTGTGGCCGTGGGTGTGGATGCGGTGGGTGCGGGTGTTGGTGTGGCTAGGGTGTGCGTGTGGATGTTGGTGTGGGTGGATGCGGATGTGGGTGTGGAATGTGGGTGCGGCTGTGTGCGAATGCGGGGTGCGAGTATGTGTGGGTGTGTCTGGGTGTGGAGGGCGGGTGTGAGTGTGTGCCGGTGTGAGCTGTCGGTGTGGGTGTGTGTCGGTGTGGGTGTGTGTCGGTGTGGGTGT